GAATTTGGACCTCTTTCTGGTAGCATCCATTTGAGTTATGGCCCCCGCCCAGGGAGACCAAAACTGTCAGAGCCGGCCCCCGCCCAGGGAGACCAAAACTGTCACAGCCGGCCCCCGCCCAGGGAGACCAAAACTGTCATAGCCGGCCCCCACCCAGCCTCCACCTTAGGCCCTACTCGGGCACGACTCGCAGCTGCTGCTAATGCCAAGGAGCACAGCGAGGGGTGTGTGAAATGCCCCTCTCGGCACGGGCCTTCCTTCCGCCATGCACACAGGCCTAGCTGTAACAAGACTCACTGCCTGAAAATTAGCACTGCTCAGCAAAGAGCCAGCATATTGTGCAGGGGATGGCTCCTGCGGGTGGATGTGGCAGGGCAGATCTGCCCATACGTTCTCGCTGCTTCGCTCTGTTCTGGCAAAACAGCCTTGTGCCCAGACTGCCGGGTAATGGAGAACCCGGGACATGCTATATACACTGGATCATAACACTCAGGTAGCCAACGCGCTGGGCAATAAACAGAAAGTTAAACTCCCTGGGCTAGTTTCATAGAAAGGCCCCCGCGTCAGGCATGTGAAGAGCAGATGTCTGCCCATCGCGAGAGCAAGTGGGATGGGCACCTGTAATTAGCCGAGCATTAGATGGCACCTGAGCCACGCCCAGGCCGGTGCAAGGGAGAGGGCAAAAAGACGTGGGTGTGTTTGGGAGTAAGGCCGTCTGTTTAGCACATCCGTTTTATTCATTGTGCCCATCCAAGTGGTGCACATGGGCATCCGGGCCAACCCAGAGTCTCAGAGCCAGACCTGCCAATCATACATGCTCAAAACGATTGAGCTGGGTCAGGTTTTTGTTTCACACTGGGGTTTTTTTGGTCTGTTTTTTTTATTCTCCTAAAAAAATGGTCTTAGATTCAACCAAGCCAGGGTTTTTATAATGTTTGGAATTGCCAGTCAGCTGAGAAATCTATTCTTTGCGCCGCTTTAGTCAGTACCCACTAAAGTTACAAGTCTGTCTTAAGAATGATGTGATTTTGGAAAGATAAATGTTGAGAGACATTGGGTTCTGGACATTTGCCCTCTGGATTCTCAGCCGTGAAGAGTTACACTCCAGTAAAACTTTTCCTCTGGAACACCCAGGGCTAGAAACTTACTTTAAAAAAAAAAAAAAAACAGCTGAGAAAACCATGTATCCTCCCTTCAGTTCAGGAGTTGCTGCTTTTCTGGAAAAACTTGCCAGCTGTCTACACTGGCCGCTTGAATTTCCACAAAAGCACTGACGATCTCATGTAAGATTGTCAGTGTTCTTGCGGAAATACTGTGCTACTCCCGTTCGGGCAAAAGTCCTTTTGTGCAAAACTTTTGCGCAAAAGGACCAGTGTAGACAGCTCAGCTTTGTTTTCCGCAAAAAAGCACCGATCACGAAAATGGTGATCAGGGCTTTTTTGCGGAAAAGCGTGTCTAGATTGTCACGGATGCTTTTCCGCAAAAATGCTTTTGTGGAAAAGCATCTGTGCCAATCTAGACGCTCTGTTCCGAAAATGCTTTTAACGGAAAACTTTTCTGTTAAAAGCATTTCCGGAAAATCATGCCAGTCTAGAGGTAGCCACGGTGTCCAGGACTTCATTGGATGAGCTCTTTGTTTGCAATCTCGCGCTGACCATGTCCTATGGGTCACAGTTCCCAAGGCGCAGATCTGGCTGTGAAATGTTTTCTTTCTTGTTTCATTACTTTTCTTTCATGATAATGGCCAGAACTGAGAAAAAGCTCCACACGGAAACAAAATGTAAAGCAAACAGTTTTGTGTTAATGTCATTTCCATTAATTTTTTCTAGTTTTGGAAAATTCAGTGTTTTGTTATGAATTGGCACTTTTCATTGTGTTTTGGGTTTTTCCTTTTTTCTCCCTTTTTCATGGGGATCAAACAAATGAAAAATGAGGACATGAAAAGCTCAAAACAGATATATTCTATGAATCACAAAACAGACCTGAGGAAAAGCTCTGTGTAGCTCAAAAGCTTCCCTTTTTTACCACCGTAAGTTGATCCAATAAACCCTATTACTTCACCCACCTTTTGTCTCTGAAATAAACCTTATAATTTCAATTCATATAGGGTATGTCTATACTAGCCCCCTAGTTTGAACTAGGGAAGCTAATGAGGGTGACCGAAATTGCTAATGAATTTAAATTTAAATATCCCGCGCTTCATTAGTATGTTCCCGGGCTACACGCGGCAGTGAAACGGGAGTTCAAAGTAACTTGAAGTAGCTCTTATTCCTCCTGCAATGAGGTTTAACAGCTAATTCGAATTAAGGGCTTTACTTCAAACTCCCGTTTCACTGCCACATGTAGACGCGGGCAGTTAATCCGGGCTGGTCAATTTCCAAAATGGCAACTGCCCGGAACATGCTAATGAAATTTAATGATATTTAAATCCCGCGCTTCATTAGCAATTTCAATCGCCCTCATTAGCCTCCCTAGTTCGAACTAGGGGGCTCGTGTAGACATACCCTAAAACATCCATGGAAAAGTTTGGATTTTTTCCTGGAAAATACTCAACCATTTTTCAACCAGATCATGGTTGTGCGTTACCTTACTGGATAATTGGAACATTGTAAATTGCTAGAGAAAAACAAAATGCAAGAGCAAGTGAATTCTGATTCATTTATCCCTTTAAACAACCATTTCTTTGCAAATGCAACAACGGTGACATCGTCACTGCAAAGAGTTGATGCATTTTAATTTCAAGATGGCTATGCTGATGTGTAACCATTGTGGAGTCAAGACAAAAGTAGCTTTAACCTCTCCCCTTCCTGGGGCTCACTACAACCTCCTTCCTCAAAGTTAGAACTCCTACGTACACCAGGATTTCACATCGAGATTGCGCTCTCACGTCCGTTGTCTTGACAGAAAGACACATCTTTTTGTAGCAAAGCCAGCATCTCACAATGCAGGAGGCCAGATCAGTAGGTATCAACCCCAGAGATTTTGCACACTTTAAGAGATGTCATGTCCTTGTTTAACGGCTGAGAAGAGACTGGGGTATGTCTTCACTAGCTATTTTTTACCTGAAGTTAAACAATTGCCGGTTAACTGAAGGCATGGGATCTATAAAGGGTGGTGTGGACACTTCCCGCATGTGTGCCAAGCTCCAGTTGACCTTCATCCTAGGCCAGTGTTTCTCCACCTTTCCAGGTAACCCCTTATTGGAAGTAAACTATTTGCGACCCCCTGAACATTTGCAGTGCGCGAGTAAACAATGCACCGATGCTATGCCCACGCCATGCATTTATGTGGGACTCTTCTGAGGGTGGCAGACCAGGCTTGACCTTGGAACAGCTGCGCCTGCTGGCAATGAGGGAGCAAGATTTCCTTTGCTTAGAGATTGTAATAGCACTTTCCAGCTCCCCCCCCTCCTGCCACCTGCTTGCCTTTTCTGACCCTCCCGGGGTCATGAGCCACCAGTTGGGAAACAGCTCCCGGCTGCTTCCTGTGGTCTTCGTAGCCTGGAGCGAACATGCATTCAGTCCCTAGCAGCCATTACCCCTGTTCCTTACTCCGAGTCAATTAGCACTCATGAACTCCCGGTAAAACACTCTAGGAACGGCAGCCCAAAGGGGGCTAAGGAACAGGGGCTGTAGTGCAACCTCTGACTGCAAGGTAGCTCCACACCAGTAGTCTCCAACCTTTCTGAGCACATCCTGCTCGTTCTGTGGAGAATAGGATGTAGGAGTGAGGAGGGGGACAGCCTGACGTCAGCGCTCCCCTCGTCTACAGCAAGCAGCTGGCTCCAGGGGGCAGAAGGCGCCAAGGCCAAGTGCAGGAGAAGCAGGGCAGTGGCAGGGGACAGCAGAAGTGCCGGCATTTGAGATCCTCCGCCTCGCTTCCCTCCATCTGCCGCCTCCCCAGGAGAGAAAGTCCCAGACCCAGGCTTGTTAGCATGTGACCCTACAGAGATGTGTAGAAAGACTCACTGGAGTCAAAGCCCCGGTTGTCCCTCACAGCCGATCCTGCTGGGGTCCAATGGACTGTCCCTTTCCTTCTGGAGCCCCAGGAATGGAGATTCTGCCCCAAGCACCTGGGGACACGAACAATCCCCAGGGCCGAGCTAGGCCGTCCTGGCACCTGGGAAGGTAGAACGACAAGACCCGAATCCTGCTCACGCACTCAGCTCCCATGAGCCCCAAACAGCCCCTGCTGGGAACTGGACGCATTCGCCAGGGCCTATGGGCCTGCACGGTGTTGGGAGCTCGGGGCTTGGATGTGTAGTCAGCCTGCAGGACGTCTCGCTTTGAGCAGGCTGGAGACAGCGGCAGGGCGCTTCCACGTGGCCGGAGCGTGGTTTGCTTTTCTCACTGGGATTGCGGCAGAGCAGAGCCTGGGCCAGCTGGGCCAACTGAAGGAGGATTTCAGAGCACACCTGGGGGAGGACCGGGGGCTGGCCCGGTGTGAGGGTAGAGCTCTCGGCATGAGTAACCCTCACGGTGACTGTCTCCTCATTACAGGTGGCCAGTGAGTGTGGGTCCAACAGCGCCTCCTGCAGCCCGGAGTGGAGCACCCAGCTGGCGTTCAGCAGTAACCCCCGGGGTAAGCAGAGCACATGTCCCACACTGGCCTCTTCGCCCCAGGGCTTCTGCTCAGAGAAGTATCCAGAGAACTGGGTGTTTATCCAAATTCTCTGAGCTCTGGGGACCCAGCTTCCTCCAAAAGGCCCTGCCCTCCCCCTTTCCTCTCCTCTCCTCCCCGCAGGCCCAGTCTCCCCTTTGCCTTGTCGTTGGGCGGCCCAGAGGCCTTCAGACCCGCTCTGGTGTTTTCAAGAGGTGTCCAGGTGGTCTTTCCAGATATCCAGGCAGAGGGCCGGCAGCTGCCCAGCCTACCCTACATCCCCAGTGCAGCATCTTCTCAGTCAGAGGCAGCAGGTGGCTACACCCCCTTTTGGCAGGCCCTAGACTGTCCCTTTAACAACCATTAGCTTGTGTGAGCCAACAGCTCATCTCCCCAGAGCCTCCTCCAGGTTCTACCACCCTGCCTGCCCCGGACTGTGGCACAGCCGGGGGCTGCCTGAAACTTCCCAGAACTGGTTGCTATGGGGACTGGAGGGAGGGATTGGGCCTGGCGCTGGACCACCTGCTGCAGAAGCCACAGCAGACAGGCAGGGAGGAGCAGAGGAGAGTTGCGGGGAGAGGGGTGTCGAGGGGATGCAGCAATCAGGCGAGGCTGTTAGCCACATTTTCCCAGAGCCCAGCAGAATTTTTCTGTAGACGAGGGTTTCTTGGCTCCTCTGTTCCCATCCTTCCTTATTCTGAGGGAAGGGACTCCACCCGCTCCGAAATGGACATGCTCCTTTCTCCGCGTTCAGGAGAGTCCAAGAGCTTTTCCCTGTTCTGGAGGGGTGTGGTCAGCCGGAGCGAGCCTGCTCCTCCGCTGTCTCTCCAGCTCTTGTAGAACCAGGGGCAGAGCCTTCCGCACGTGCCTCAGATGACGCCGGCCTTTCTTCTGTGCCGCAGAAATTGCAAGCTCGTGTCAGTCCTGAGGCCTCCCCACCTCCCTAAGGCTTCGTTTACACACAAGCACAAACCCCCTGCGGGCGGCGGGGAGGCGCAGGGCCCAGGGCGACTCGGTCGAGCCTGCTCCCCCATCACTGGCTCTCAGCACCCAGGCCCCCCGCAGCCCAAATATCCACTCCGCTATTTTTAGCCCAGCAGCAGGAGCTGACGTCTAGCGAGCCAGGCTCTGAGGCGCGCTGCAGCAGGGTGTTTTTGCTGGGTGACCCTCTGCCTTGTTGGGCATCGCTGCGTCGCAGGGCACAGCAGGCTGTTTTCATCCCGGATGCGACACCTGCGCAGAGCCTCAGTCTTTCCCGGAAGGGGCTATAGCCTTCAAGGCCCACTCTGAGCTCCAACAGACGCAGCCCACGCCACTTCACCCAGACCCCTTTCCACTGAGACTCAACCCACGCGTGGCGGGTGTCATAGGCAAGGGGAGGCGTTGCCCTGTGGGGCGGGGCAGGAGATAGGGAGGTGGCTTGGCTCCTGTGGGAGCAGGACCTCAGCAGAAGGGAGGGGCTGGAGACAGGGCTGGCACTAGCCCTCATCCAGCCCTACCTCTACCCACTGCCCACGACTCAAGACTAGAACATTTCAGCAGTTAGGAGACTACAGGCAGCAAACAGGAGAGATCAGGCTGCCACCAGCACCTGAGGTCCTGGCATGGCCTAGAATTAATCAGATGGGAGATAGCCAGAGGATCCCTGTTCTGTGTCCATGGTGTTTCCTGTCTTGCCTTCACGCTGGGCTATTCTGGCTGCACTAATGCAGGGGGGAGAAGCAACACGGGCTTCAAACGCAGACTGGACAGTGGCGGATCCCACTTGCAGTCGACAAGGGAGAGAGCAGCTGCTCAGTTGTTTTTGATTCCTCCTCCTGTCCAGCTGCTAACTCAGATCATCTAAAAATACACCCAGTGCTGGAGCTGGCTGGGAAATGCGGGTGTCATTCCTGGGGAAACTTGGACTTTTTGTTAGGAAAAAACCCCCAACATTTCAAAAACTGAAGGAAGTTCAGCTAAAAACACGAGTTTTGTTGCTGCGACTGTTGGGCTTGGGATTTGGGTTTTGGTTTCTGGTTTTCCAACAAGAAATGGTAAAATTTCTACCTAAACCAGACACTGTCATTTAATCAAACCCACCATTTTCTGTAGGAGTTTTGAGGGGAAATTTTCAACCAGCCACGTTCCGACTTCCCCAAAGACATTTTCCCACGTCAGCAAATGCTGCTATTGCCACGGCATTGAGTGGGAAGAGAGATGGGGTGGAGGATTTGCTAACAAGAGGGAAGGAGTTCATGAGACAACGGGAGCGGCCGGTTTGAGCAGACCAGTTTCCAACTGCTCAGTGCCAGCTGTTTCAGAGCGATAACCCACCTTCATGGCCAGCTTCCTCCTGGTTATCCCATAGTTACAGGTCAGCTTCTGCTAGCCGTGTCCACTGTGTCAATGTCTTATTCTCGTCTGAGTCCTGCCACTCTTTCGGAATCAAGAATCTGGTGGCGGGGAGTTCCGCAGGACACTCAGTGAGTGAGAGAAGGATTTCCATTTAGCAGTTTTGAATCTGCTGCCTTTTAGTTTCACTGAACACCTCCTTGTGACTAGAAGTTCTCTCCCGCTACTGTGTCATTTTGGGAGGAGACGAATACGAGGGGACTGGAGGAAACAGCCCCAGTCTTTCCAGGTCTCTAAGCAGTCTCAGGACCCAGCTCTGTTAAGATGGGAAGCATGTGACCCACTGAGCGTTTTTTCCCATCTCTACCATCAACAGCCAGGACCGTGCATGAAGGAACAGAAAGTGCTTGAAGTGCCCACAGCGTAGCACGTCTCTTTCCCTTCTGAACTGGTCAGGGCTCAGG